CTGCCGGGGGGTGGGGGGGAGGGAAGGTATTTCCTCCAAGTGTCTTCGAAGCTATGAGGAAACGTGGAAGCTCCGGCTTTGGGAATGCTGAGGAATGTACCTGCCAGGACAGACGCTGCTGCTGCTGCTGCTACTGTGACCTTAGACAAGCGCCTCTTGTCACGGCATGAGGCGCGTGCCATCGTATTTCTTCAAAGGAAGTGGTAGTGGCTCTGGAGAGACCCAGGTTTTCTTAGATGAAAGGATTCTCCGGATCGGACGGACGTGGGTATTTATTTATTCGTCAGCCCCGTCGTCTTGTTAGAAGAGACAAAAACTTAACTGGATTACCAGTAATAGCTCGTACACCAAATTAAGTTGTTAAATGTTGACCACACTAAATTTCCCCAATAGAGGACGTCTTAACTGGAAGCTGATTTCAGCTTTAAAATTGAATTGATTTACAAACTAAAGTTGTGACTTATTTTTCTCAAGTTTATTAAGATTGTGAAGTGTATTTTGGCAGTCTTCCTAAGTGCCCTCGTCATAGCTATCTTTAAAATCTTGCTGCTTGTTTTTGGTGATGCTCAAAACTAGAAAATACTGAGTGGGTGAACAATTCATTGAGGATTTATGTTCTTCTAGAGTTGTGCTGAAGAAAACAGACATCTCCGTGACAACCCCAAGTATCACAGGTGAGTGTTAATGTATATTGAAGTCTTGTGAATTGGAGAGCCGTGTTGTGCTGAGATGATTTTCTGTACACTGCAACTAAATGCTAGAAAATGAGTGGTTGTTGAAAAGTTTTGTTAGTTCAAGCTTTCAAATGAGTCAGTTTAATTAGCTTCCTGATGTTAGACCAGAATGAAATCCACAGATAAAGCCACCCTCAGTATTTAAGTTCACCTATTCCTGGAGTTCTCTTTTCTGGACTTTGGTTTTTTTGAGATAGGATTTCGGTAGTCCAAGCTGGTCTGGACCTTGCCTTGGCCTTGAAGGAGCCAGGTAGCCAAGGATGACCTTGAAGTGAT